CAATTAAAATTTAAGTATAATTAATGGACCATTTATACTTGCATTACAATTATTAATAATTATTATCTTTTATTCATTGAAAATGGTTTTAAATTAATATTATCACAATTTTAATTTATTATAATTGTTATTAATTGAACCGTATAAAATAAGCCTAATTCATGTAGAAAAAAAAAATGACCAAAAGCTTTGTAATTTATTTATTAAACAGATTGATTCAAACTATAACCTTGGATATTAAAATAAGACTCAATTATTTAAACGTTTATGCGTTTTTGCATATTTTAGCCTATTTAATTACCATGAATTGCTATTAATTAGTAGTTTCATATTTCTTTATTAAACGACTGTTTATTAAAAATAAAATTGTACATTGTGTCAAATATAATTTATTAAATAAATAAAATATCGAAAAATTAATAATTTCTTTTTACTAAAATACATAATAAAAATTTACAAATTATATAAAGGTTGTATAATTATTATACTATAATCCCAAAATATAAAAAAAAGTTACTTGCAGCTTTCCTTAAGGAAATTTGGCCACGGAACTTGTTTTTAATCACTATTTATTGCTAAGTGCGTTATCGCTACGAATATTAATTATTAATATTAATTAGTAATATTAATTGTAAAAACTGATATCTGTAAAAATTCTAGAAGAGCTTTTACTTCTATGGTCTTCTAAGGATTTATGGACGTAAGACCAAAGTTTTATGAAAAATAATAAAAAATTTGATATTTTGTCATGGCATTAGCACAGCAATTAAGCACTTAAACAAGCCTTTCACCTTGCCACCATGCTTCTGTACTCCACCAACAGGACCGACAAACAGCATGTTTCGTTTTTGGGCCTTATCAGTGCCGGGCAGCCATGTGGTGTGGAGCACAGTTCGATACACACTGCCACGACGCTATAAATAAGGTGACCAATTTTCTTAAATGAAAAACCAGGAGAACATGCCCCCTCACCCACATTCAATGTTAATTATTTAAATGGATATTTTTGTAATTCTACGTTAAAAGTGCATCGCCTCCTTTTCTTTTTTGGATTTCAGTTCGACATGGTATTTAAGCAAAATAATTTTTGTCAGGAGTCAGCTGCTAAAAATATACAATAGGTAATCATAATATTGAAATTTAATTTAATAAGGGGCAAATAAAATTCAATTAATCCTACATACCAGTAATTATTAGTATTTATTCCCAGACAATACAAAAAACGTTTTTGAAAAACATAACCAAAATGTAAAAACATTGTTTTAAAATGAAATAAAAGTAAACTACAAAAAGTCACCAGATTAAAGTAGTGCAGAGGTGCGTGCGTGCCGATCACCTATATTAGAGATAAGCTAATAACGTCAATAATATAAAAAGTACAAACCAGAACCAAATCTGCAAAACCAGGACTGTTGGTCACCTTAGCCTACAGCAACCTTTAAAGCTAAAAAACTATTTTTAATAAACAATGTAAACCCGACATCAATCAATCCTGGTTAAATAATACATATCTCTATTTTTTAAAACCAAAATGGATTTAATTTATTGCTAAGGTTTTAGTTTTCATTCAAGATCTATAGTAAGATTGACCCACATAACAAACATAAATAAAAAACAAGATATAAAAGTAATACATTTTTTTAACAAACAAAACAACAAATTCTTACGTCAAATTCTAAATAAAATAAATATATAACATAAATAAAATAAATAAAACATTCTAGAGTTTATACATACAAGGTGTCCCGATAAGACCTTTACAATGCAAGGCCACATATTTCTTGGTTTAAAATAATTCGACTTAACCCAACTAAATAGCTGCTAGCGGCCTTTAAAGAATGTAAAAATGATTATTTTATACTGCAGTATACTCGTATTACACTGATTAACAAAATTCGACTATTTTTTTTCTATACTATTTAATAGTTTCATAAGCTGTTAAAATATCACCCATTAATATTATTGATTGCTAATTGCGATTTTACATTTAAATTAAGTAGGTACATGAGATCATTTTTTTTTATTTTGGAATTATATAACTCGTGAATGGATTATTGGACTAAAATGATTCGAACTTTTATTTTAGACAATTACAGGCTCCACAATAAAGTTAAAATGTTATTTAAAACTTAGAACAAATTTGTAGCAAATTTTAAGTTTTTATTAGTTTCCTGGTAAAACCATCAACTTGTTACAAAATGTTAAGGATGATCATACATTTTTTGTAGATCATTATATTTTCTATAAAAATAGGTTTTATGTTTTATTTATGATTTACTGGTTTAACCAGTTTAAATACAAATATTTATATTTTAATCAGAAATATTAATTTTTAAAATCAGTAACCGTTGAACTATAAGTTTTAAAATTTATAAAATTACCCAATTTTTTTTAAAATAAAATGATCTACCAGTCCTATAACGTTTTGTAATAAGTTTTAGCGGAAAAGTAAGAAAAACTTGAAATATACGCATGTAATGTAATGCAATGTAATTTTACGCATGAATAACTTTTGAACAAGTAGATTTATTATAAAATAATAAGAGACCTCTTTGTAGAGCGTTTACTTTTAATAATCTATAAAAATTATTTTTAAAATATGTGGTTTTCATTTAAGTCATGCTATTTTAATTTAATTTTACCTTTGTGCAACTATTAAATAGTCAGTCCTATTTAATTTTTTTATTTGCATCGATCTGACGGGGTCCTGGGCTGCAGACCATAATGCCCATGCCTAAATACACCCATGATTAAAACTTGTAATTAAACAAATTTACCGTCCCATTACTTTTGGTATTAGAGGCGAGTCCTCTTGGGGGGACTGAACTGCTTATAGGTGTATACTTGCAGAAGCTACTTACTGAATCCCGATGGTCCGGTTAAGGCACGTCGACGAGTGTGCATATAACAAAATATGTTGCTGGCTTGTTGTGGTCGACGTTTTTAGCCGTCAGACGGCGTCCTTCGTTGAAAAACTTGCGGTACGAATGAGCTTTTAGTGCGTTTACCTGGGCAGACTTTTACAGCTCGGGTAGTACAACGTGTAGAGACAACGTGTAGGGATTCAAACGATGTTGCCAGATTGCTATAATTACAGTTTAATATGAGATTTTGATTTGTTTTGTTAAAAGCTGGACAAATATATTTTTTATTTGTTATTTGAAGAAAATTTGTAATAATTGCCACAGAGATTCTAAAAATATTTTCTCGTATATAATACCACAAGACGTAAAATTTTACCGATAAAATTGTTTTTTATCTTGGAAATTTCGCAAGTGGTATTGATTTTTAAATTAATACCACGAGCGAAATTTCCAAGAAAAAATTTTGAGTAAATAAAAATCAAAAAATTTTTCAGAGAAAGTTTTATCACGAGTGGTATTCGGCAAGGCATTTAATGAATATATTTTTTTAATACAATTAACTGCCGATTCCATTTCTGTTACCACTGGTGGTAACATTTTACGGATAAAATTTTTGATTTTTATTCGAATGTTTTTTTCTTGTAAATTTTGCAAGTGGCATTAATTTTTAAGACCACGAGCCGCTAGGCGAGTGGTTTTTTGTTAATGCCACGAACAAAATTTCCAAGGAAAAATCTTGAGTAAATACAAATCAAAATTTTTATCACGAGTGGTATTCGGCAAGACTATTTCACGAATATTTTTAACTGCTGATTCAATTTCTGTAATTTTTTTGACCATACGCATATTTAATAATATTTAATTTTAAAATTAAAAACGTCAACAGTGACAATTATTTTGAGAATACCAACCAATTGGTTGCTGGGCAACTCGTATAAACGAGTGGTTTTTTCTAATTTTTCCGAAAAAAAATCGAAAAAACACGTTGCTAAGTAATATTTTAACAAGAAGCATGAGTGCTGGTGGCAACAAAAATACGAGTCGAAGACGAGGATTTTTGCACCTGCACGAATGCATTTTGTTAAAAAATATTACTTAGCATTGTGTTTTTTCGATTTTTTTCTCAGGAAAAATTAGATGCCCGAATGGTATTTGACAAGACTATTTCATGAGTAACAGTTAACAATTAAAATATAAATTGCAATTTTTGGTGACAACAGCTGTCAAGTTTTGCCGCGGGTAAACTCGAAAACACTGCTGACAGGTGCTGTCACACAGTTTTTTCACCTACAAACCATTTGTAATTCAAAATTGCGCGTTTGTGATTGGTGGAAATTAAGACGAAGGAAATAGTCACCTAAATAGTACCTAGTTTTATCGCTGCAAAACTGAAAAAAAACACTCGTTTTCTGAAATCTGATTGGTCCATAAACTAATGAGTGGAATAGTCTTAAAAAAACACAAAACATCAAACTTTTTAATACGTCAAATTAATAATGAAATTGTTGAAGCTTTGCAAGATTAGAATTCATATCAGTGGTCTAAAATAACAAAGTCCAATATTTTTTATTAGCAAATTTCACCATATTTATAACATTTTTGTGAAAATACTAGTCCAATTAAAATGGCTAAGGAACAATATCATACCTTATATTATTGCCCATGGTCAATAATATAAAGTATGCATATTAGGTACTCCTTTTTTTCAAGGGAATACCTTAATAGCATATTTATTAATTTCTAAAAATGTTACTTAAGTGGACTTTGCTCATTATATTAGACCCCTGATTGATAACTCTTGGCTATCAAGTAAAAGGTACCTTTTCGTTTACTTAACTCTTATAAATCCTTAAATTAAATTTTAATTTTTAAAAGTACCAAACCAAAATAATAATTTATTGCTTAGCAAGGTAAAAATAGATAATACTATTTACTTAATATAAACCGTGCTTACAATTTTTTATACCTTAGTTGATAATTAAATACTTAAAAGCAAAGTAAACTTTTTTGCGAACCTTGCAATCTTATCTCGAATCATGAGACTTATCTGCGTATAAAACTGTAGAAACAGTGAGTGAGAGCAAGCATTGGCAACATCGCATGCATACCTCCAACCGTCAAGCAGCGAGTGTGGGACCCAGTGCTATACAGTAGTCGTCGTTGCCTCACGTCCGGTCTAACCGTCTTTTCGTCTTCATCAACGGGAAAACTGAAAACTCCGGGGTTTTCAACGATGTTTTCGTAGAAAAAACATCCTCGTTCCACGGTACCGCGTTTTTCCGCGAATCTCGTCGCTTAATTCACTGTTGAAGTCTCCCGAAAAATCCGTTAAAAATCGGTTTTGACAGTTAAGGTGTTGTTTGATTCCTGGCATTCTTGATCATCTCGGCCGTTTCAAGGACGACCGGTGTCTGCAATTACAAAATTCAACGTTGTGAAGGAATGTCGAAGAAAATTTAATAAATCTAGTGATTTTCTCCAGTATACAGAAAAGCGACTTGAACACGTGCATTTTGGTTGTTATGGTTACAGTGTTGTTGGTGTTCATTTGATTGGTCCACAGGCTACCCTGAGCAGATGCTCTTTGCTGGCATCTGCCTGGCATAGCACGAGCGATAGAAGTTCTTTGTGTGTCGTTCGGTTATTTATCGTTTTATTTTGTTTGCTGTGAATTGTGCCAACAAAAATGGGAAATCATCCATCGAATCACATACCCTTGGAAAGGAATATCTCCAAATTCGGCGATGTCCATGCGGTACGTGTAAAAGTGAAATTTCTTAGAAATACCACACAATACCACACAATAATATTACTTGAAAGTATATTTATATAATTATATTGGAAAATACGTTAAGTACATATTATTTGCTTAATTCTTTAGAATGGATTAGTCATTTTCAATGATGATAACATCATCGCGACTGCTAATTTAAATAATTGAATGATTCTCGGAACAAAAATCAAAATGCAATACCCACCATGCTAAATAATTATTCCTGTTTGTGAGGAAGGTAAATTATTTTCCCTAGAGAATAATTTTTACCTGAGAAAGTCTGTAATACACAGTAAGGGGACAATTTAAAATTCAATCGTTCTCTACCCTTGTAAAGAAAAGAAAGTTTTTATACTTCAGAATACCGATACGTAACGTAGAGATTATGTTTTTAAATAGAGACAAGGTTTGATACAGGAAAGCCTTTTAAAAATGTTGGAATTTACAAGAACAGGTACTAATGATGACTCAGTATGACTAATTTAAATACAATTTTCTGTCATTACCTATAGGTACAATGCATTAAATTATCAAACTATTTTTGTTTATTTTAAATATATTTAAAATAAACAAAAATAGTTCAATAATTTAATGCATGACAGAAAATTGTATTTAAATTAAATAGTAAAACAAAAAATTCTTTTTATATATATGATCCCTAAAAAAGCTAGGTGAACTTTAGAGGATCATTTCAGTAAATAAAGCAAAATGCGGCAAAATGGTTCAATACAACAACTTCAATATTTTTTTCTACTCCCAAGGTGCACCTTTAAAACGTCCATTATTGTACATGTTTCCATGACACTAAGTGACGTTTTAAATACACATTGACAAGTTGAGGCGCTTTAGTCACGGGCTGAAGTTAGTTTTAAGTTAGTTGACAGTTGTCAAATGTAGTTGACAGTTGTCAATCGTTAACATAAAGTGCCTTTTTGTTAAATAATACTAAATGTAAAAAATATTTTATTATCTTAATACAAAAGTATTAAATAGTTTCTTGACGCCAATATTTGAAAAGATTATATGAACGTTAACGTTAACTGATAAAACGTTAAACATTTTGCGTACAGTGCCCATAAAACATTCTCTTCTCTTTTACTGTAAAAACTGCTTCTATATCGATTGTTAGTCTATTTTAAAGGGATAAATTTTGATTTACACAGAAAAATTTGAGATTTTCACGCCGGTGGATTTCCAAGTTAGAAATTCCAATAAATAAAAACTGTCACTTTTTGTACCTTTATTATTTCCCGTTTAAGAATGTAAATGCAAATATAAAACTATACAGATATAGGTTATCAATTAATAAATAGACAGGTCAATTTAGTAAATTTATAAAATCCCAGCGTAAGGTAAATGAAAACAGCATTTAAATAAATAAATAGGTAGATAAGGAAAATCGTTAAATTATATAATTTGTTTATTAACTGCTACTAAATAAAAATACCGATACAAATTCAAATTTCAGTTCAATGGTTCTTTAATTTTCTATTTTTAATATTAATGCACTGTTTTATTTATTAGTTTTGAAATCAAAATTATAAAATAATTTATATAATTTTTCATGTATTTTGCTTGTATAATCTAAATGTAATTAACAATTTAGGAAAAAAATAAATGGAGGTCAATTTTAGCAGTTTAAAAAAATTAAATATTTTACCGGTGAATATTACAAGAACGAGAAGTAAGTGGGAGAGAGTTTTTAAACGATTGTAGAAGTAAGAGAGAGGAAAGATATTGCAAAAGAAAAATTTAACCATCCTTGTTCCACTTATTAATCAGATTATAGAACAATCATAAGAATATAACTTTTTTAGATTTTATCACTATTGACAAAATTTGTTTTAAAGGTGGTACAAAAACACATTTATAGTTAAGGACTATTCCAAAGAGACTAAAAAATGTGCTTAAAATTAATATTCTTATGGACAAATGACCCTCTATATATGTAAGTTCATCATAAAACTATAATTTGATTCTGGATTTTATTTCACTACAAAAATTTTATATAGAGTAGATTTAACCGATAAACTGATAACAAATTTGCGTACAGTGCCCATAAAACATTATCTTCTCTTTTACTGTGAAAAACTGCTTCTATATCAATTCCAGGTCAACATTTAACATAACACAGTATTGCCGTTATGTAACATAGGACTCACATTGCAATATTACGATGTTACTAAAATGCAACGCAACAGTTAGGTACCTAAAATAATGGTAACATTGTTACCGTTCCAAGTTAACCAATAGGCAATATAACAATAACGTAACATTGCGATACTATTGTAATGTAACAAAATTACCAATAAGCAATGTAACAACAATGTAACATTGTGAAACTATTGTAATATAACAAAATTACCAATAAGCAATATAACATTAACGTAACATTGTGAAACTATTGTAATGTAACAAAATTACCAATAAGCAATGTAACATTGTAAAACTATTGTAATATAACAAAATTACCTATAAGCAATATAACAATAACGTAACATTGTGAAACTATTGTATTGTAACAATATTACCAATAAGCAATATAACAGCAACATTGTGAAAATATTGTAATATAGCAAAATGACCAATAAGCAATATTACAGCAACATAACCTTGTGAAACTATTGTAATGAAACAAAATGACCAATAAGCAATATAACAGCAACGTAACATTGTGTAATGTAACAAAATTACCAATAAGCAATATAACAGCAACGTAACATTGTGAAACTATTATAATATAACAAAATTACCAATAAGTAATATAACAATAACGTAAAATTGTGAAACTATTGTAATATAACAAAATTACCAATAAGCAATATAACAATAACGTAACATTGTGAAACTATTGTAATGTAACAAAATTACCAATAAGCAATATAACAGCAACGTAACATTGTAAAACTATTGTAATGTAACAAAATTACCAATAAGCAATATAACAGCAACGTAACATTGCAATACTATTGTAATAAGTTTGTTACGTAACAGTTACATTTATGTTACGTAACAAACTTATACTTATACACATCATTTACATCTCGCTCGTGTTACCACTTCGGCTAGGTATATAAACGAAGTTAAGACTGTTTGTCATTGGACCTCAAACAGTCTGCCTTATTATGGGAAAGTCAGATTTGATACGCTTTAGCGTTAAACTGACGGGACTTTCTCATGTCGAGCATAATAACGTTGCAACGTAACAATGTTACATAACCGTAAAGGCCACTTGGATTGCGAAAAAGTAACGGCAACGTAACATTGTTACCTATTTGCAACCATCAGCTGATCAGGTTATGTAACTGCAATGTTACATATTACCATCGTTGCATAACATTTTGGTTAATGTTACGTTACAGTTATGTTTAACTTTCATAACGGCAATGTAATATTGTTGTGTAACAATGTTACTTCAATGAGTGGGAAATATGAACCTATTTGCAACCGTCAGGTTATAAAACTGTAATGTTACACATCAGAATCGTTAAATAACATTTTGGTTAATGTTACGTTACAGTTATGTTCCATTTTCATAACGGCAATGTAACATTGTTATGTAACAATGTTACTCCTATGAGTGGGAAATAGGAACCTATTTGCAACCATCAGGTTATGTAATCAAGGGTTAAATTTTGATTTACACAAAAAAATTTGAGATTTTAACGGTAGATTTCCAAGTCAGAAATTCTAACGGGAATTCCCATAATTACAACTGTGCGTTTTTGTTTGTTTTTGTACATTTCCCGTGTAAGAATTTTTAATACTTTGTGATAATATTTTGCAATTATAGTAATAAAAAAATCAAAGGATAAAATATTTTCTTAACATAATCATAGTTTGAAGTTATTTTAATATTTTAAATTATCAATAATTGTTAAGTTTAATTAAAATATAAAAGGGCAATGTTAATGGTAAAAATTACGTAAATAATGTTTATTGGGATGGTTACTTTATTTTCCTATAGATGTGGCTCTATACAAATACATTTAACATTAATACATTTAATTTAAATCATTTTTATCATTTTTTAGATAATATTGTAGTAGAAAAAATATAGTATGCAACTCGTTAATAAATTTGGGACACTCATTTAATTAAGCACTCGCTCGCAAGCTTGCTCGTGATTAAAATGGCGTTTATAAAATTTGATACATAATATACTATTATATTTATAATCTAAATTAATTTAAAGGCGTTCAATACCATTTAAAGTGCTTTGAAAGGGTCAAAAAACATAGAAAGCAGTAAAGATTTCACAATTTAAAAAAATGTGCTTCAAAGGAACCAAAAATAATTAAAAAGTGCTTTAGAAGAACACAGAATCAGAAAAAACTGCAAAATATCTTTGATCCAAAAAATGTGTATTCGAAGGGTTCCAATATCATTATTAATAAATATATTTATTAATAATGATCTTGGAACTATCCTAATAAACATGTAATAAATAAAATGAAATTAGAATTAAAGCTTTTGCATTATGTAATTTAGTAGAATTATTAATTAATATTACTGAAATATAAAAAAAATTAAAACTAATAATAATAAAATTTTTCCTATTCTAAGCTTTATGCCGGGACCTTACTTTTTCCAATTATGTAAGCCTAATTTGTTTACTAGATAAATATGTCAAAAATTAAATTTACCGTTAACTTGTACAAGGTTACAAGTAACAATTTAATTCATCAGAGTAGTAAATTAATTAGTTGTATTAATTAATATGACTTTATACTAACTATATACGTAAACGCATTTGAATAAAACACATTGACGTAAACATTGTAATTAAACAAGCTATTATGGCTATTATTTTAAGGACGATGTCAATTAAGGTATTTAAAACAATAAAAATTTAAGATTTTATTTGACGCCAAATTTTCACACGTATATGGACTAGAACTAGAAATATCGATCTTCATACAAATGGAAATGGAATAAGATTTAACAAATCCCTAAATTAGGGACCCTAATGTTGACAAAAA